GAGGTGGGGGAATGAAGAAGTTAAGGTCATATTTAGCAGATGATGCCACTAAAAATAATTGGCTAATCAAAGATAAACTAAGAGCAACACAATATAGATAGAATAAATATTATGATTCAATGTATCTAGATATGGACTTTCAGATGGGTGATTATTGATATGTGAGAACTATCCCATTAAATGGTATGAGTAAAATTGTTAGAGTTGAGTCTAAGGTACTTTTGACCATTTGATGCGATGATAAAATTGAAAATTAAGTCTATGTATCCACCAATATTGCCAGGTCATATTTTAGATATTCATGATGCATTTCATATTTCTTTACTATAAAAATTGGTCACATATACTATTAATATGATTCTAGATAGTGAAATAGAAATGCAACCTAATTTGACTTACATAGAAGAACCTAATTATATTGTAACTTATGATGTAAAATAGTTAAGAAATAAGCATATTTTTTTATGAAAATATGATGGAAGCACATATCAGATAAAGAAGTCACGTAGAAGAAAAATCAAAGATGAAACAACTTTATGTGTGTGTGTGTGTGTGTGTCCGTTTAAGATAGTTCAAAAATAATTTCTTAGTAATACTCTCTTACTTCATTTTTTGGGATTTTGTAATTATTGTAAATGTTCAGGTTCTTTTTTGTATGGTTTAGCTTCAAAAAAAGTTCTGTGTATGTTTTGGTATATTCTATACTATAGGGTGTATATTATAAACTATAATGAAGGCTTCTTTTAGCAACCAGCCTTACTTTTTGTAGCCATGGTGAAAAATATCTATCTAAAGCTTAGTATCAATTATTATTCACTTGAAAGTTAAGAGTTATATTCTTTATCAACTTCTTTTACAATGTCCCTTACCTATAGAACTTTTGATTAAACACTATATATTTATTTTAAGTATGAACTTTGTACTGTAGTTCTTAAACATTGCATATAGTTATAACCCATAACACAATAGGAAAATCATTAAATACCGACAAAATTTCTTACAGAATTTTTTCTCCGTATGGACAATACATGTCGGCTTCTCCTTTTCATAATGCCTTTCAACTTTGCATTAGAGATGCCTTTAGACTTATGCTTTAGTAGATCTTTCACTTTTGCAATGCTATACTGTGTAAACTTATGGTTCTTTCTCTTCCTATAGAGAATAAAATTGATATTTTCAAACATATCCTTAATCGTAGCCAACATGTATTATTTAGCCTCCTTATTCCACTACTCTCATGTACTAATTTGATATGCAAACCTACTGATATAATTTTTGAATATGAATTCACTGCTAGCTTCAAAATTATTCTAAAAAAATCCTATCAACATGCGGTATTAATATATATCTTTGAGAGCTCTTGCTGACCATCATAAGAGTAGGTACTTCTCAGGGATTTTTACAATATCCATCTGCCTCAAAATTCTCATGCAGTGAGAATACAACAAATCCATTATCCCAAACTTCCTGCAAATGCATTAAATGCTTCCATCTTTCGTATCAAAATCAACAACCCAATGATTAGGATGATCCTTATTTTCTTTGCAACAGATAGAAAAGTTTGAAGAATCATAAGAACACAAACTTTATACTCATTCCACCCACACCCTGTAAAAATCCTTCTACAAAAATGAATATAATTTCCTTGAATAAAATTGAGTGGCTTGCTTTAATATTGGGCTGCTTTTTATTACAAGTTATATTTTGGACTAGCTACATTTGTAATCATCATCCTATTTATTCCAGCGCCAATTCCTCATTATCTTTTCTAAACCCAGAAAATAATTAGTTATAAAACTTGTGGGCTTAGAAATATCATGAAACACATTATTAGTAGACTCGCTACACCGTGTGGATAGAATGCCCATGTTAAAATAATTCTTATTGATTGTTGTTGACGACTTATTCCTTATCCTATAAAGAACCTTCAACCAACCATGATTATGGAGTTTCTCTTATGTGATCATTTTAGCTCATGTTTTGTTAAACTCCTCCTCATAGTCACGTTTGCTTAAACACTTAATGAAAAATGCCTCTTACTTTGTTGTTGTGATTGAAGCATAACGCTTTTGATGAAACCTTTTTATGAATATGCCATTGGCACAACCTATGGCAAGTGTGAGATAAATGCAACTTATATGGCTCTAGCCATTGCCTATTCTTAATCAGCAAATATTATTTTTGTATGCTTATCATCCATGATTCATACAAAAGTTATAAATAACCACATAAATGATTAAATAATCTCTTCTAACAAGAAGGTCACCCCAAGAAAAATATTTTGCCAAAGATTATTAGCCCCGACAAATTGTGCGCAGACTGAATTATACTTATTAAGCCTATAACTAGTATAAAAAATTACCACATCTCCAAAGTAGTCATAATATATCATACCCATCTCATCAACAACAAAAAAATAATCTATCAAATTCATCAATTTGGACATCTCAAGTGAACTAGTTATCATCAACTTGATGATCATTAAATAACTAAATCAAAGTATTAGTGTCCCCAAATTCAATCTTTGTACTTTTCTCTTTTTGAATAAAGTTGTATGCATCACTCTCAGAGAATCTAATATTTTGGACACGTCCAACTTTATCAACAAGGTAGGAAAATACATCAATAGTTCTTATCCCATCTCATATCATTGATTTAAGAACTGAAGTTTTATCATCACATGCATTCTTACATGATCTAAGAAGATGCCAATCTTCTGGCATAAACAAATTATGATTGTGGCATTTAATAATTTTTTTCACATTCTAAATTTCAGATTCATCCACTATAAACCTAATCATAGCTAGAAACCAACCAGTTATGGTATCTGATTTTTGATATTTCATTTGGAAATTAAGATCAAACATCTTCTTGAAACTAACTTTTGAACAAACAAAGTCTTTATATTTTATTTTTCAGGAATTTGGCCAATAACTGTGATGATCCTTATGAACACTAAAACCAACATTATTGGCATAATTACAATAAGCATTGTACGCCTCATTCTCATTTGCATACAATTATTGATAATAAACACTAAATAATTAGAAAATAAGCAGTAAAAAACATAATAAATATGCCCTACATATGCAGTTAATACATATCGAATACACAATAAATACATTGTAAATACACAACAAAAATGCAATAAATATGCAAAAAATTAGCAACAAAAATGAGGTAAATATGCAGAAAAAACTCACTGAACAAGCAGCAAATAAGCAATAAATACTCAGTTAAAAACGTAGTAAATACACAATAAATAAGCAGTAAAAATGTAATAAAGACACAAAAAAATGCAACTAAAACACATAAATACACAACAAAATATGAAGCAAATATGTAACACAACAAATGTAGAGTAATATGCATTAATTTGAAAAATGTGCATAATGGCTACATGCTGTAAAGAAAACTTGTAAGGAGTTTGAACTTTATCGATAAGTTGAAACCTACATCTCCTAAACCTAGCTTTCCCTCTGGCTGCAGTTCTTTTAACTTCAACTGTTCTACTTCCTGAACGTCTACATATATATTTTCTGCCTCCGCATTATGTGGGAATGTCATCTACTCGTAAACAAAATATCCTTCTCCAAATCAGTCTACAACTTCATTGATATTTTCTCTATTATTTCCTTCTTAGCTTGTATGAAATGTTTTCTTAAGTTAAAATATTTATATATTGTGGAGCTTTCGTAGTTGAAATCATGAAAAAAGAAACGCCAACCCTAAATTGAACTGGATGGCAAATGACTTTTTCCTAAATTTGAAAAAACTCGTGGGTCGTGTTGGTCGGGCTGCAAGACAGAAAAAGACAAAAATAATAAAACGGAATACATATGAATATCCGTGCATGCAATTCACGCATGACGATTTTATTGGTGTCCGGACGTAGAGCTACGTCTGGACTCCATATAATTTCTCCTCCATTTGAGCTTGAAAATCTAGTCTCACAACCTTTGATTCATAGGAACTTTGTGATTTTCTTACTAAGGTGAGTGACTCACAAAATTTGATGAAAAAATTCTTTGAAAAATCTACAATAGCAGCTTGTTAAATCTTAAAAGGCCTCATTTTCCTATTTATCAATTGGTTTGGCTATTTTCTTAATATTTCTATTTTGTTATGTCAAATAAAGTTCATACACATTTATGACATGTTTTTGAATGATGAATTTCTTCAATCAAATTTAAAATTTTTAAGCTTAGCATGAATCTTATTGTCTTTTACAACAACAACAACAATGACTTCAGGTTTTTATCCCACTATGTGGGGTCAACTAGATAAATCTTTTCCTCCATTGTGTTGTGTTAAAAGTCAAATTCTTATTTAAATCTAATAAAAAAAATGTTATTTCTAATATTTTATAATCAAGTCTTTTTAGGTCTACCTCTACCGCTTTTATGGTCATTTAGTAACTTTAAATTTTTTGGAGGCTTTGTTCACAATCTTGTTCTTTTGAACTATATTATTTTAATATAATTCAAATATAAATAAAAAAATTCAATTTATTAAGAGACTATTTCGGATCATTTTTATTTTTTTAAATATATTTGATTTTTGTTTTTCAACGACTTTAAAAAATAAAATTGTAAATTTGTAAAGATAACCAATGTATTAGAAAGGCCAAATGAAATAATCATTAGCTCATAATGGTTATGATAAGTATGAAATATATATATATATATATATATATATATATATAATTTTAAATTTAAAAAAGTACAGTACAATCACCTCTTTTAATCAACGAGCCTCTAATTTATATAAGAAAAAAAATCTTAGGGATATTTGAGGGATTGTTTAATTTGCTGAAACAAGAAATAGTGTAACAAATAATACAGTGAGAGAATAATATATTATAATTTATATATTTTAAAATTATTTTTATGAGTGTTTTTATTTGGTTGAAGAAAAATGAATATGATGGCGGTTGGCTATGAGAATACTGCAACTCAAAATTTAGAATGCAAAGCCATGCAGAAGTCGTATTCTATGAAATGCTGAGTGCTAACATCCCAGCGTACTCTGTTTCTTGTTCCAAGAAGACAATCCTACATGGCGACGAGTTTCAGCGCCGCCAGCCGATTTCTCGTCGTCAATGGCGTCCCTCAAGCCGATGATGTTCCTCCAGTCTCCAACCTTCTCGAATCCCTCGCAGGTAAACTCACCTACTTGTCTCTTACTCTTTATATACTAATTAAATATTTATGTATATAGGATTGGAAGCAATTCTGACCGTTTTCTGTGCTCAAGGAGTCTACACCACTACTCGAACCCACGGAAATGCCTCGCTCCTCCTCTTTTGGGAGCGTCACCTCCGCCGCCTCTCCAACTCCGCACGCATCCTTGCCAACCACCTCCCTGACATTTTCGGAGCGCTGGCGCCGGTGGTTCTATCTTCCATCCGGCCGCTCGTCGATGAGTCTCTGCAGGTGGGTCTAGGGTTTGCGCTGGCCGAGAGGGTCCGCCGAGCGGAGGTGGTGGAGGAATTCACGGAGCTGGCCGTCACCGTGCTGATCTGCAACGGCGGAGTAAGCGGAAGTAGCGCGCTCGATCTGTACCTTCATATCGGGTTCTATGTTCCACCGGTCTTTGGCGCCGCGGGTGCTCGCCTCGCACTTGCCGGCCGGGGGAGGGACGTTGCGGAGGCTAAGTATTCGCAGTGGGCGCGGTGAGTCGTTTAATCGAGCAGGTTTCTAGTTTGTCCGCTGCAGGGAGGCAACAGGCAAGATGGATTTGGGACTTTATTGATATTATTATTTTTACACAAATGCGGATTCTTCAGGATCAGAAAGGACATGGAGAGGATGAGGCCTCCTATGGTGTCGGAGCTGCTGTTGTCTAATGATGGGGATCGAATACTTGAAGGAAGTGTGACTAATTTCTTTGTTGTTTGCAAGGTGAGTTTTGAAAGATACTTTGATCTTATTCTTAATTAATGTCGCAGGCGTCATGACTGGGGTTCTTCATGGAAATAGTCAGCAGGGTTTCGAATTTTCCATTATATAGTGAATACCTTATCTTTGAACATCTTGAGCAATTTTGCCGCTGCAGCTTTGTTATCGCAGTACTCATGAACTTAGGAAGTAAATCTTAATTAATAGTTAAAATACGTGCTACATTGCATTAATATGCCCATTAAATTATGTGCTATATCAAAAAAATCCAAATTTAACCAACTTAATGAAGTGGGTATATTTGCCTACTGTGTAAGGTTACAAGCCCATAATGTGGTTTGCTTTATTTATAGGGAAAGTTTCTAAGACCTATTATGCATACCGTCCTGTCTATAAGATATGAATGTAAGACCTATCCTTATAAATCACTCTGAATCTAAACAATTTGGACTACGTCAAACTCTCCTTAAACCTAGGTTTATAAGTTTCGATCCAGTAGGTTTCTCTCCAACAAGTGGAGTTGTAAGTTCTAATACTCCTATCTAAGTTTAAAATGTTAATCCAATTCAAATCTCATTATTGGTCTTCCCTTGTTCTTGAGTTTGTAAGCCCCACTTATGTTCCTTCCTTGGGATTTTAGCCCTAACCCAATTAATAGGATTGATACCAAGCCAAAAAACCTACCAACTAAAACCTAGCATGCCCTAGATATGCTTCTTCAAGTTGAGCTAAAACTTGTGGAAAATCGATGGACATTCCATGCCTTTGTGCTCTTGTCGGTCATATTTAATACCTTTGAACCGCAAAAGATCATGATGCATGCCTTTGCACTATTTAGTGAAACTAGTATGACCAACCCTTTGCTAGTAAAAAAAGTTAATGCTAACTTTGAAAGCATGTCTTTGACGCAAATAATTTTTTCTTAGTTTGCTTGGGATACCTGAGAAGAAGTGTTCCATGGTTGCTAAGTAGTCACCCTTATTTTTATGACTCAAAGTCCTTAGATACTAGTAGATTAAGTTCACTAGTATATCATAGATACTGGAACAGTTGGATCTTTGAACGGGTCTATCTCCATCACTCAAACCATTCTCCACTCAATTAAATTTTTAACCATCCACTAAGTTTGGACTTAAAATTTATTGTAAGCAATCTTGGTAATTGAGAGTTTTTTTCTCAAAGTTGAAGGGGCAATTAACTATGTGGATTTGGCTCACAGGAAATCTCAATTCTATATCTAAACAAACTATGTTCTAAACATCAGGGCAAAAAAAAAAAAAAAACAACATCAAGCCTTTATCGTACTATGTGAGGTGAGCAACATACATTTTTTTCTCCATTGTGTCTTGTTAAGAGTTAAAAGCCTCATTTAAATATAATAAAAAAGATAATTTCTTATACTTTTTTAATAAAGTCTTTTTAGGTCTATCTCTACTTTTCTTAATATAGGCTACCAAATTCAATAAATCTACTCTCTTAACCGAGTCATCGTAAGGCCGACATTTTGTGTGACCAAATCATTTAAGGCGACTCTTACTAATCTTATTTTCCATTGAAGTTACTCCAACCTTTTCACGTATACTCCAATTTCGCATTCTATCTCTAAAAGTAAAGCTACTCATCCATCTAAGCATCATTAACTTTGCAACACTTAACTTAATTTGCACCATAAAACATTGTAGGACTCACCACCATCCTATAAAATTTTTCCTTAAGTTTGAGGAGTATTTTTTTATCACCCAATGGGTCAAATGCATTCCCTCACTTCAACCACCCAACTTGAATTTTACTAATAAATTTCACCATCACTTTGAATAATAGATCTGATATACCTAAAACGTGTATCCTTTTTAATGACTTGATCACCCAAAGTCACAATCTTCCTACTAGAAATATTACTACTAAAATTACACTATGCATATTCAATTTTAGATCTACTCAAATGAAAATTTTTAGACTTTTAGGTTGACCTCCATAATTCAATTTTTCCTTTAACTCCCTCTCAAATCTTATCAATAAGAAAAATATCAGCAAAAAACATACACCAGAGTATATCCTCTTGCAAATGTATAGTAAGGACATTCATGACTAAGGGGCTATTTGGTTGGCTGTAAAATGAATTCAGTGCAAAGTAAATGCAGTGAAAAGTAAATACTTTGAGTCTGTTTGGTTGGTTGTAAAGTTAATACATGGAACTGTTTTTTCCTATTTGGTTGGATGAATACAAAGTAAAGTAAAATCGCTTGAATCAAAATGGATTGTACTCACGGTCGTTGGCAACGAGCAGGGAAGAAGCAGATGCAGTGTCTTTGTCTAAATCAAAGTAGAGACGGGCGAATGGGGGAATCGTTGGATGGTCAAGCGAAGCAAGATCTTCCTGTGTATGAAGTCGAACAACAATGATGGAGCTGAAGATGCGACTCCTCATGGGAAGCAAGATCTTCCAGCGTACGAAGTTGAAAGGCAACGAAATGACAGACTGGGTTATTCATGCGTGTGGAGGGATCAAGAGTGGAGGCTAGGCGGACGAGCAGGAAGTCTGTGTGCATGCGATCCATTGGGCGAGCCTCCTGCGTATTTCTAGCCTGACGATCTGACAGAGGAGAAACCTCCTGTTTGTGCATATGTGTGGAGGAATTGAATAGAGCAGGGCTTCCTGTGTGCAACTTCTAGGAAGATCGAGTGGCTTCTTGCGTGCATGCTTGGGCCGGATCGAGTGCATGTATAGCTGGAAGAGCTCCCATACAAAATTCTACCTCACGTGAAGCAAAAGGAAGAATCGAAGCATTCCTGTGGGCTGCTCGCTCTCTCGTTGTGGAATTCCTTTTTAGCTCGAATCGAGTGGGTTTACTTTACCTACAAAATGAGCTAATACGTGAAATTTCTAATACATCAGGAATTTACTTTACTTAACTGTCCAACTAAACATAAAAAAAGTGAAAAAAGCAAAGCATTCACAATGCTTTGCATTTACTTTTCCTTCAACCAAATAGCCTCTAAAGCAAAAAAATAAAAAAGGCTTAAAGCTAATCCTTGATATAATTCAACTCAAATAGAAAAATATATAGTTAAATCATCTTGTGTTTGAACACAAGTAACAATATATGCATACATATCCTTAATGACTTGAGTATAAGTATTATTAACTTCTTTCTTTTCTAAAACTTTTCATAGCACTTTTCCTAGAAATTTATTATATATTTTCTTTAAATCAATAACTATCATATGAAGATCCTCCTTCTCTCTGTAATTCTCCATCAAATTTCTCGATAAATATATAGCTTCCATAGTAGTCCTACCTGACATGACTTCAAATTTATTTGAGAAACATTAGTATCACGTCATAAATAATGCTCAATAAATCTCTCCCATAGTTTTAATGTATGACACATTAGCTTAATTCCTCTATAATTCACACACTATTGTGCATCACCTTCATTATTAAAAATAGTAATCAACACAGTCCTTTTCCACTCATCTGATATATTCTTAGTCTTCAAAACAATATTAAGTAGTTTCGTATGACAATAAATTTTTTTATCTCCTAAACATTTTTACACCTCTATTGAAATATCATTAGATACCATAGTTTTCCAAACTTCATTTTCTTTAAAGCCTTTCTAACTTCGGTTTTAATAATACAACTATAAAAATAAAAATATCTATTTTTTATTTAGGGCGTTAAGGTCACTAAATTCAATTGTATTTTTATAATCTTCAATGAAAGCTTAATGAAACATCTCATACCCCTATGTTGAATATTCACTTCTAATAAAAACACTTAATTGACTTGGACAAGATCTTTATTTTTCATATCTCTTTGCTTGACTAGCTTATACATACATATTTCTTCCTTACTATCTAATATGTTTTATAATAATTAAAAGCTAAATTTTTTACATTACATATTAAATTTTCAAACTCTTTACGAGCCCCTTTATATTTTTTTTTCCATATTTTCAAATTTTTATATGTAAAATAATTTTTAGAATAAAACTTCTTATTTTTTTGATCTTTTTAGCCATCTTGATTCCACCACTAACCATTTTTACCATTATGAGCTTGTCTTTTTGATACTTGAATCATATGCTTTGCAATATTTTTAAGCTATTTTTTCACATAACATTAGTTTCCTCATGCACAGTTCAAATCTTAAGATATTGAATCTTACTCAAAAATAATTTTGTTAGTGTTCTTTAACTGCCCTCATCTAATCCTATGACAACATTTTATTTTATTTTTATATTTCATCATTTCATCTTAAAGTCCAAAACTAATAAATGATTAGTACATAAACTTTTACTTATAATGACTTTACAATATTTGCATTCTAAACGATCTAATTTTTTATATGAATATAATCAATCTGAGTTTTACATATTCATTATTAAGCTAGAGCAAAATCTAATATGCTCCAATCATCTTCATTTGTCTATTCAAATTCATAAGCATCATGAATGTTTTTAAAATCTTCTATCATTCTACCAATATGTCCATTTAAATAACTTCTAATAATTTTTTTTTCAAGTGGTATCCTCTTCATTAATTTTTTAAAGTCATTTCAAAATTTTAATTTTGAACATATATCCAAACCTACTTATGAAGCATAAAAATTTATAATATTAATAATCTTAGTATCAACAGTAATTTTTAAGCTATAATTCTATTAACTTTATAACATTATCCTTCAGAGTCTTATATGTAATCACTCATACCCTATTTCTAGTATGACTTCTATATGAATACCATAATTTAAATCATAAACTATCAATCTCCTTAGTCTTCTTTCTAATCTATTTTGTTTTTTAAATTCATAGAATATTTATCTTCCTATGAATCATAATATCTATTAGTTTCATTCATTTGCCTGCAAGAGAACTTATATTTTAAGTTTCTATCATAATTGTAGTTTCATGGACTAGCTTTTTTGCCCACCTTCGTCTATGATGTGGGAACCCTTGCTTATTTAACATTCCAACCGGACGTCAGTACAACGACCCTTGCACATTTCTCGTTGTATTCATGTCAAATAGCGTGTCACTTTTAGGGAATGTCCTAGTATTGACACAATGTATTAAATGATTTATGTCATGATTATTCAACAAGTTTTATGGTGATTGTTGACTACCTAACGTAATCCTCCACTTTTCTCCTCCAGGGCTTGGGAGCTGGCATCGACAGTGTTAAGGGCATAACAAACTAAAACAAAATATAATCCACCTCAAAGAAAATCACTCCCTAATTTTCTCTTACACATTGATGAGGATCAAGGGTTGGGATAACTTCTCCTAAGTGATTATTCAGGCTCTTGGAAGGAGATGATCAATGCCTTGGAGCAACAAGCTATTCTCTTTAAAGCATCTATTTTGTTTTTTTGAGTAAGATCTTTGTTCTTTTTTTTTTTTTGTAGGATGGTAGGTTATATGCCAGTTTCCTCTTGGTTTTTCATATTCACTATTTATTTTAGGACAAACAATATCAAATCAGTCACTGATTAATATTTTTAACTACATTTAATTGTGTTTTTTTCTTTACAAATTGATCTTGTGACAGTTTAAATCCTAAGATCAGAATAGTAAATTCATGCATCCTTAATGTTTGATCTTGTTTTTCTTATCAAGGCATATACCACAAACATTTAAATACAGTGGCCGAAGCTTGTTTTAAAATTAAATGGTTTTGAAATGCAGGTGGTCGGTGATAAGGCAGATGATTCTACATATGATCTGGAAAAAGCACCGTCATTTGTAGTGCAAACAGCACCGTTAAGTGATGGGGTGCTCCCTGGAGTAATACGTCAACTAGTCATTGAGTAAGTATTCTCCTCTTGTCTTATGAAATGTTATATGCCACGAGTCGCTTTTAATAAATTTTTAAAATTTTGAAGTATTAGATATGAAATGTTTTGTGGATAACTATTGTCTACTATGTATTGTTCAAATTTGTTATCTATTCTTTTTGTAGTGTGTCTCATTTATTTACTATTTTTTTTTTCCCTCTGTGAGTATCTCAGTTTTTATGAAGTGTTACAAAGATGAGGATGCTCAGATGACTTTACTCTTAGAGACAGAATACAAAATGAGTATATACGTGAAAATGTTGGAGTAGCTATAGTGATAAATAAGGTTAGAAAGAGTCGTCTTAGATGGTTTGGTCACATTAACCATCGGCCATTCAATGATCCTTTATCCCACTATGTTTAGAGAGGTAGAGGTAGATTTAAAAAGACTTAGTTAGAAAATATTAGATATGACCTTTCTTTATTAGATTTAATTAAGATTTGACTCTTGATAGGACACAATGGAGAAAAAAGATTTATGTAGTTGACACCACGTAGTGGGATAAAGGCTTGATGATGTATTGTTGTTTTAGTTTCTCAGCTTTTTTAATTACCTATAAAAATGCTCACCATTAGTCGTATTTATTAGTATAATTGAATGCCTTTTTCCACCTTTCTCCAGTTAGTTTAACCTTTGAGGACTGCTAAGCAAATTCACTATGGTATTCTGCGGTTTGTAGATAATCCATATTTTACCAGAAGAAAAAGAAAAAGAAAATCTTCGGCTGCCTGTAGCTTTTTTCAAAGTTAGGTTGATAGATTTTATGGCCAAAGGGCATATATTTTGCATTTCTATTCTTAATCATTGGATAAAGTGACTATATTAGGTATGTTGAAATTTTGATGGAGACCTCATGATGTATTGATATCCTTTTTTATTTTTCTTTTACTTTTGAGTTAGCCTTTGAATTCATATATTCTTTTTTGAACTCATCCCTTTGAATGAGAAGGGTGTTGACGTACTTTTTCGCTCTATCGATTCGATCGAA